CTTACATAAATATAATTCTGTAATACAGTGCAGTAAATAGTAATAGTAAAATGTTGGTTTACTAAAACATGCTGTCACAACTAGTAAGTGGGAGTAAAAAGAAATAAGCATGTTTTATATATCATAGGGAAGAAACTGCAATATTGGAATTTAGTTATGTTAATTTTAAGATCCAAAGAGCTCACTTCAATGTTTGATACAATTCCCTCCCTCTTCTCCTGTTTTTCAAGAAGGTTGGGTTTTTGCAGGTTGGTTTTTTTGTTTGTTTTGTTTATTTGGGTTGTTTTTTCTTTGTTTCGTTGGTTGGTTTTTTGTTGGTTGTTTTTTTTTTTTTTTTTCTTCTGTATGGCAAATATATCTGAATATACAGTATTTCATTCCAGGTCAAGAATCTTGTTTAACCAGTTTTGTCTGATATGTGCTCTGTTATGTGTTTATGTTCATAATCTCTTTTAAACTCTGTGAAGTTGATCCACAATTCTCTGAAGTTCTTATATTAACAAGGTTTGTTAATGTTTCATATTTAACTTCAATCATTACTTTGTGACCTTCACCCGGCTCTGTTACCATGGGTTAAATGATATAAACTTAGTTAAAATATTTGCCAAAACTTTTCCAACATCCTCAAATAAATAAATGTAGGCGATTTATGAATGGGCACTGACAGGAGTCATTAAATGATGTAGTGTCATTAAGGACCTTTAGTTAACTCATGTTGTTTATGTACAGCACCATTACAAATAAGTCCCATGTGGACTGAGGGCTGTGGATCCACAGCACAATCTCTACCTGTGTGTTCTCCTGTCTGGTTTTTTCTTCATTTGTACTTACGAGCTCTGCACTGTTCAGGTATCCTGCTTTCATCCTCATCACTCTAACCCACTCTAATTGAATGCTTTTGCAAACAGCCTTCAACTCCTTTTTTGAATTGTGAGCCAGTCCCTGAATTTTCAGTGGCAGCCTCCCTGCTCATGCAGACAGAAGCACAGAGCAGGATCACTGCTGGCTGTTCCAAATCCTGCTGTACAGAACTCTGCTGTGCTGTACTGTTGGGCAGCTTAAACTGCCCTTGCTGTCCCCACTTTGTTTTAGCCTATGAAGTGCAGCAATTGCCATTCAAACTTTATCAATGTATGTAATACTTTCTCTGTAATTTCAGTGCAGTGGTTTTCATATCTTCTACAGCCATGCTTCAGTAGGGAAATTTTCTGCAGAATACAGTGAGCCATCTCTAATGACAGAGTGGTAAATTCAGCCTATGGTCTCTGTGGGAGCAATAGTGCCTTTCTAGCTGTGTGGGACTGGTTGGGCACACTGCCTCTGTGGTTCCATGGGCAAAGGGCACAACAAGCTTTTTCTGCTTCATCAGTGCCCATGTATGATGTGATGGCTGCTGGCCTGACCCTTATGTAACTGTTCGATATATGGATAGGGATCTCTCTCCACCAGGTTCTCCCCTAATGGTGTTGCTACAAGGTCTGTCAGAACTGCATTTCAGGGCTTGTTTTCTTTGTGTATCCTCTCCAATGATACCCGGGCTCTTTCCTGTCATGCTCACCTGTCTTCCTAAGAGCAGGCCTGGAGGGGAGGCAGAAGGTAACATGAGATTAACAGTGGAGAATACAAGAAGGGAAGAATTGTGGAGACTTTTGATACCCAAACTTCCTGTGCCAATATGCTATAGGATATGGCATGTGTTGGCATGTGTATGGCATGCCAGTGAAAAGCTCTGCATGAAATTCTCAGTACATGGGGGAAAATGAACATAAGCTTTTTTCAATCTAGACCCAGCTGTGTAATTTGACTCTTTCGGAGAAGTGATGCTATATGTACTTTTTCTACACAAAGAACATCTAAATTGTATTTGTGTGGCTCGACTTTATTTAAACTTCACTATCAAATTGAAGATACTTGTGTATTTTTTTGTTTATCACGCTCCTGAACAATATCCTCGGGGTGATCTTTCCTACCTCAAGTACAGTTGTGGAAGGTAAACTGATAGGATAGATACTCCTGTGTTTCTTTTCAGTCGTATCTGAAACAAGTTGAAAAGATGTTGAAACAATAGTGTACAGTGAAAGCACTTGTGAAGAAAATTCCTCCTGCTCTCCCCAGAAGTAGGAAAAATGCTCACTCTCCAACTACAACACAGCACAGCTCCCCATATATACCAACAGAGGTCTTCTACCATCTCAAAAAAGTATATGTGTGTGTTTATATTTATTGTTGGTATTTTTTAAGACTTACCTCGTTCAGGTAAAAGAAAGGAATTTTTTTTACTTACTATGTTAGAAAATTTGTTTGGGAACAGTTCGTTCATGGGAAGGTGCAACCCTTGTAATGGTGCCAAGGTCATTAGAGACCTGTGAAGATCTGCTGGTAAAGTGCTGGTCACTCAAGCAGCTGGAACTTTAGGCAGATTTTACTTATATACCCAATTTATTTCCAGGATTTTACATTAGGTTTATAAAGAGAGTACTCACGACTTGCCCTTTATACCTCTCTACCTCTTATATATATTCACGTAGCTTCTTTCTAACTTACTGAAATACACAGTGAAAAAGGAGAGCAAGTAACAGTTTAGTTTCATTTTAGGGGCTGTATCCTAAGATACATGCAGCAAAAAGCAGGAGCAGATCTCTAGATGTGACTGCATCAGTGCAGTCTGAACTTAATTTTGAGCCTCTTAAGTTAAATCATATATAGAGATGGATGCTACTTCTGTGTATATTTATGTGTGTAGATCTGGGGAGTTGTTGGATTATTTGCTTTTGTGTGTGTGTGTGTGCATCCACTTCTAAGGAAACAACGTTTCCTATGTTGGGAAAGCAGAGCAAAGCACGGCAGGTGAAGTAGTGGAATCCTCAGGTACAGTGTGGGGCTGCTGCAGTCCTGTCTCACTGGGCAGCCCCGAGTAGGCAGTTGGATGAAAAAGAACAGACAAATCAACATTCCTTTCCCTGAACTCCCCAGCGTGCCTCAGCTGCTTTCACTCAGCTCCAGAAGGGGGAAATGAGACTAAAAGGAGCCACTGGTGGAGTGCTTGCTAATTAGTAAAACTTCGCTGCATGAAGAAAGCAAAAATTAAAGGAATATATAAATGCTATTGAAGTTTCAGTATGTGAAAACTTAAAGCATCAACAGATTTATTTCAGAGCTTTTAACCAGTCGTGTACTTAGAGGAACAAGTTTTTTCAGTGTTTTCAAAAGACCAGAACTTGTCAGCCTGCTTATGCTGCCAGTTTTTGTATAATAAGTTCATTGACCCTGTAGACAGTCTGAGTGTTTTCTGAGTTACCGCTTTATCAAACTAATTTGCATGATTTTAAAGCTGTTGCTTGCTAGAAAACAATCTAGTGAGGGCACTCTTTGTAAACACCCTTTTATATAACTTTGCTTATTCCTTTTGGGCACAGGGAAGGGAAAATCAGGAGCAACAATCAAAAATAGTGTAACTGAAAAGTGACTTTCATGCTTTTATAAAATATTTCACAAAACAGTTTCTTACTGGGTAATTTGGTAGAATTTCTTTTGTTTTCACCCAGATAAACACTATTTCACGTGCAAAAATGTTATGCTTCAGTAGTTAATGTGCAATTACCTATTGTTACCAGATAATGTAGATGCCAAAGGTATAAATGGATTTGAAAGGGATTAGAGAAATTAATGGAAGATACGTTCCTGGAGGAAAACTATTGAGAGCTGAGAGTGTGGAATGGGGAAAGGCTTGTCCCATAGTTGTTCTTCCTCTCTTTGCCTGTAAGCATCAGCTGTGGCCACAAGAGAGGATACTGGTCTAGCCTGAGTCGTTCTGGTGTTCTTACTGTTGTTTAAGGGCTTAGTATAAAGGGCAGTGGGCCTGAACATCTGAACCAGATCTTTGTACAGAGCATTGCTTTGTGTCAGACTCTGAATGCCCAGGAGCAAGAACCACAAATGATATCCTGGGTTCTTCTATTTTCTTTGGATGGGATTCTGAATGAGAAGTCAGTGAAGAGCAAAGATTAAATTCTTCCAGCTCTTTGCTCCACATGTTTGTAAGTACATACCTGGTCTGTGTTATAACAGTATAGATAGTATAACAGTACAGGCACATACTTCCACTCATGGTTTCAACAATAAATGGTAGGGTGTTTAAAGGGTAAGTGGTAAGGTGAGTATTAGCTCTGAAAAGTTACATCCTGCAGCCAGTTGCCCTGAAAAAAAAAATTAAAAAATCTATTGCCACATGTGCTAAATTATGATGAGTAGTTTATTACAATTTTATTATAATTTGTTTGTGCTATATATTGATTTCAGTTTCTGAAAAATGCAAGATGTATCTTTTTGAATACAAGTTGAACTCCTTCCACCCTCAGGCAGGAACTGAAGCCCCAGCAGAACTGCTGACTAAGCACAGCCCAGGCGTGGGCTGCCTGATCTGCAGGTAGAGCTGTACCAGTACCACTGGGAGGTACTTCCAGTCTCTGCTGCTCTTCTGTGCTGGCACAGCTCTTTGTGGGACCATGTTTTGAAATCCATTGGGATTTTTTATTCCAGTAGTGCCACCTCTCTTTTTTTTCCCCTCTTTTCTTTCAGCATCAAGACCTCTTTATATTTATCTGTCATTTACTCTGCAGCCCCACACACAGCTGCATGGATGTAGTGTGTTGTATGTTAGTTCTTGGAATCAGCAGTGGGGTGAGGCTGCTTAAATTTTGTGTTGCTGTGGAAGAAACTCTTGATAAATAGGTACTTCCTTACAGGTCCTTATGGCTTTTGGTGTCTGTTATGTTTTTTAGATCACTTGGAATTACCTAAAAATGGGATTTGATAATGGTGTTGGATATACTTTATCTGTAGATATGACTGAGGAAAAACAAAAGCTAAATGTAAAAGTCTTCACTGATATTTAATGTTATATTCTAGCTATATTTGCTGTGGTGCCTTATGAAACTTCTGTTGGAAAACAGCACCAGTTATTTCTTTTTTTTTAACATGACATAATTTGTTTTCTCTAGAGTGCTGCTGTCCTTGAAGGTGAAAGAAATGCTGCACAAGAGGAGAGAAATAGTATAGAAAATCGAGTCAAGGAGCTGACTGAGGAAAACGAGCAGTTGAAGAGAAAAGTTACTGAGTTAGAGAGTAAAATTGAGGAGTTGCACAAACAAATTGATAATATCAAAGGAGAAGAAAATTTAGCGAAGGAAAAATTAAAGACATATGAGGTAAAATAAGAAAACAAGCCCCTTAAGTAGTCTTCTTCCTGTTTGCAATGGATTCATTGTAGAGTAAAAACTGACAAAGAGGAGGATGGATAATGCCATCGGGAAGGGTAAGGAAAACCAGCAGGTTATAAGAAGCAGGATGCAGTTTGCTGCCATATATAGGAAAGATTTCCCCAGTGCAAACCAGATTAGAAACAAGTCACAGCTTGCAAGTGGGGAGATCAGTGATAGGCCAGAGTGAAGAGACTTTATAGCTCAATTTACTTGTCACTATTTCTGAATGTATTAAATTGAATCATTACAGGAGGAGAAGAAACAATTGGAAGAAGCTTTGAAATGCGCTGAGAAGGAGGCGAAAGAATTGGTAGCGTTAAAATTGGCTTTGGAAAGCCAACTAGAAGATATGCAGGTAAGAACAAGAACAATTTGGAATATTTAAATTTTAAGGTTTTATAAACATGTTTTATTATTTTGAATGATCATGCAACTCAGCTTGTGTGATTTTACATGTAAGAGAATAAAAAGCTGTGCTCGAATGTAAACAAAAATATTGGCAATACACAAATATCAGGAAATTGGCTTCTCTATTTTTATAAGCCTGTCATATTTGCAAATGTTGCAGGGAACTGGAATATGTCATCACTAACCCAGAGAAATTTAACACATATCACTAGGATTTGCAGCCTCTTAAAACTGTTCTTACTGGCATCGTGTTCTGTATCTGCAAAAGTTACAAACTAATTTTCCTTCTCTGTAATTCACCTTTTACATGTCCCAAACAAGCATCGATTTCAGTGGTATCAGTTTAGAATTATCTTAGTCTAGAAGCTGAGTTTTTAAGTGATTCTGTCAAACAAGTCAGACTCAAAAGTGAGCAACATGTACATTGCTAGTGACCCTTTTTTAGTTGAACAGATGTTTTCCCTTGTCTTCAACATAAATGTTACTTTATTGTTCTGAAAATGAAATTTGTCTCTAAGTGGACTAAAAACCAAGGGAAGACTGTGTTAACTAGCATGTTCTCATGGTTCAGTTCATTATAGTAAAAAGAAAAAAATAAAAACAAGAAGAAAATACTCCTATGTCTTTAAAATTGAATGTGCTTCTAAGATTTTAATAATACGGGTATCTAAGTTTTGTTTCTACAAAATGATGTTTTAAAGCTGATGTTCCTTGTAACTACATCAAGAAGTGTTTTATCTGAGGCTTTTGGTCAGGGTTTTGTTGTGGGTTTTTTTCACTTTAAATCTGTTTATCTGTTCTACCTCACTGATACTCCTCATTTGCTTGTATGTATTGCTGGTGGTTACACAAGCCCTACAGGTGGCCCATTGCTCTTCACTGCCCTGCACTGAGCACACTTCCCTTCTGTCACAGTCTGACTTGCCCTTCCTGTGTAGCATGAATCAATGCACCACATGCATCTCCTGCATCTTGATTAGCTTTGGGTCAAGATGCTTGAAAAGTGTGTTCTTTCCTTCCTGTTTTTCTGCATCCTTCAGGGCATTGTGCCAAATAATGCTGCCTCCAGGCAGGGTCTCCAAATTCAAGAATTCTGGGAAAGGTGACAGAGAGAAGAGTCAGTCTTGTCATTTTATTCACAACTTACATCTAAAGTGGGAAACACTAAATTTAATCCTCTTTCTGATTCTACACTCTTGTGCACCGGATATGAGCACTAATGGACTTCAGGATGTAATCAGTGGTCCCTTTTGTTTAGAACAATTCAGCCTTTCTGTCTTTAGAGTTTGCTTGTTCTAATGAATACTGTTGTGCAGTAGGTTGATTTGGCCTTGTGTTACCGTTGACAATTTAGACGACAAATTTTGGCACAATAATAATGTTTATCACAGTGGAAATTTAATTCCTGACTGTCCCATCTTGCTTTTTACATAACACAAATTACTTTTAATGGTGGATTAGCATAAGAAAGACTGACAATACCAATAGAACTGTAACAGTTACTTTAAGCATGGCCAAATCTATTCCCCCTCCATTCCAGATTTCTATTCAGAAAAGTTAAACCTGGCATGCACTTCATTCTTACAACCAGTTTGTGTTAGTGCTTTATACTGAAATTTTCTTTATGGATGGTCAAGCCAGGAGTAATTTTGTATAGTTTCATGTTGTGTTATAACCTCTGGTTAGAGTAGCCTCCTCCACGTAGTGCAGTGTTTCATGAAATGAAATACATCTTAACAGTTTTGCACCATTGAGAAGACTTTCTGAAATTTCTTGAGAACTCTCTTGGGAAAGGAAATAATTATTATGTTCCTTGACCATAGCATATATGGTACTGTCATATCTTTAAAAAAATATCAGTTATACCAACATGATTGATGGCAGAGCCAAGTAATCTGTGCTTTTTAAATTAAATGTTCGGAGCATGGGATCCTTTCCATGGGTGGAAGAACATGAAATTTCTGTTTTCATTGTGGTAAATAATGGTAGGCACTAGAATGAGAGTTGCAGAGCATTGTAAGTTGAAGTTCAGTTGTTTCTAGCATGAGTGTTTCTCAAATATTAAAGTTAAGGTAGGAATGCTAATTTTATCAGTATTTTTCTCATTTATCAGCTAATCTAGCAAAGGGCAGTACAATATCCTAATTTGTGTTGCCTAAGAAAATTACTGTTGGTGAGAAACTACATAGGACATGTTATTTCCCCTGAATAATAGTACAAGAATGAAGTAGTATCTGTTGTAATGCAGGATTTTTATTAAAACAAAGATAATTTCTTTTGCAATGCTCAGTTTTCGTGAGGAATATTTTTACTCTTTACCTATGTTATCAAGTTTCTGCTGGCTAGATTTTAGCAAAACAACAAGGAACTCTTTATGCTTTAAATGGTAATTTCACTATTTGAAGAATAAGAGATTCTATGGCATAGTTACTGGGTAAATAATACTACCATAATATGGGCACCTTTTAAATAGATGTGGAGGAGCTCGTGCAGAATGGTGGGGTAAGAAAACGACCATTTCCAACCAAGTAGAAGTCATCAAGCCAAGAGAACCATTAACTATTACACACTTTTCCAAAGAGAATAGCTGTGCATGTGAACCATGTGATCATGCCTGTGTTGGAACGAACTAGTGACAGGCTGTTATTTAGAGGTAGGAGGGTGATAAGCTCTCAGACATCCTGCCTGTGATAGCAGAGACACTGGGAGCCCCCTGGTAGGTGAGCACACTGGGTAGCTCTGCAGGTCATTCAAAATTTAATGCACAACATTCAGGTCTGGTTTGAACATTAACTGCAAAAGTTCCCTCAGGAAGGGGATTTGTGTGCTGACAGCTGCAAAGTTCTCTTTGCACGGCAGCATCTTGATAAGGGCTTCTGGGTGCTACAGAAGCACAGCAATGGGGAAAACACCACTAGTTACTTCTCACTCATCATAGGAACAGATTTGGGTTTTTGTTTTGTTGTTCTTGTAGAGGTTTTGGGTGTGTGCGGAGGGGATTTTTTGGATTGTTTGTTTTCACCTAGAAAAACAGGTGGTTATTGAGAAAACTTTTCAGGGAGCATGTAGGAAAATGTGAAACTTGGAATGGATATTGGATCTTGTACAGGAGATGGGATTTCCTGGCTGGTGTGCAGCTGCAGAGGAATGTATGCTTTGCTTGTAACAGAATAATGAAATTGGTCCTACAAATGTTGCAACAGTTTTTAAGGAATTTATAGGAAGGATAAAGCACTGCATCACTAAAATAGTAAATACTGGCTAGCAAACTGTAACTCCATAACCTTTTTAAAAAAACCCCCAACCTTAAATTTGTCTTAATGTCACAGCAGCCTGCTGGTATTACTGCTGCACAGTGTGTTAAGTAAGATTCCTTTAAGGAATCTACAGAGGGTCTACATTATATATTATTCAGTTCATTATATATATGTTTTAATTTCCTGCAGGAGAACACCCGTTGTATTTCACAGGAAAGGCAACAGTTAACTCAGCAATTAAAGGATGAAACTCAGCAGAAGGAACAGTTAAAGCAGATAAAGACTGAAATGGAGAATGAACGATGGCAACTAAACAAGACTGTTGAGAAGTTACAGGAGGAGGTATGAGTTCACTCCAGAGAGGCTGCAGGAATCTGAATGTCTGACAGACAGAAGCAAATGAACTGACAAATTGCAAAGAATTATTTATTTGGAAATGTACAAAAGAAGGTGAAATGCAAAGTTTGCTATTAGTTTCTTTAACCTAGAGGCTCTCAATAAAAGTTTTCAGGGCTGGAACAGTGATTGGAACACCACTATCTCAAAATAGCATTGTAAAACCGTTCTGTTTAAACAAGATCTCAGATCAGTTCTAATGTCATTGATATTTCAGAGCTGATTCTCAAAATGCTTTTGCATCAGACTTACTGTGCCATGTGTGTGTAAACCCTACAACTAATATTGACACAGTGAAGTGTGACAATGCAGTTCATTGCATCACTCAGCTGGAAGAACTGCTGCCAGACAGAAAGAGAATAGTCTTGCCATGCATACTATTAGAAAATAACCTTTCTGGTTTTGTGTTTTCACACTTCTGCATAGAAATTAATTTCTTTAGGAAAATATGTCATAATTGATAATTTTTCTGTCTGAAAATACTGAGCTGAATATTGAAGCTGGAGGAAAAAAACCTTTCGATGTATCAAACATGATAGAACCTTTTGTAACACTATGTTAGGAAAAAAATTATATGTACTTTTTTCCCAGATGTCTGAAATGGTAGAGATCTCAAGAACATCAGCTCTGGAGCTTCAGAGCCAGCTTGATGAATACAAGGAGAAAAATCGCAGGGAATTTGCAGATCTGCAGAGGCAATTAAAGGAGAAGAACCTGGAGGTAGAAAAATCACGCCTGATGACCATAAGGATGCAAGATGAGGTAATGACTCATAAATTCAGTGACAAATTCTAACCTTTGACCTAGAATTCAGTTCAGATAGTTTTCAAGATAAAGAATGTTTGCTATCATGCTTTTGTGCACCTCATCATGAGAGAGGATCTCAGTCAGTGCTCTGGAGTTTCATTGTTCATGGTGGTGATCAGTGTGTTATTGCTGCCAGGGAAATGGGCTTTCCTGTTTGTGACAGGTCTAGGCAGTGTCTGACAAACGAGTGTGTCTGAAGTGGTATGACAAGGATTACCCTGATCTGCTGCTCTCAAATGCCTGCTACTGAAGGAATTGGGAATGTAGAAATATTTTTGAATTAGGAAAAAAAACCCCAGCAGTTATTTAGAGAAGAAAACCCCCCACCAAACACAAACAACAAAACCAAATTCTGGCTCCAGAGGAGTTGACGTATATTCTCCTCTTCTTTCACGTGAACCAAGTTGCAGATTTAAATGACAAAGGTGTCTGTGTAGCCAAGAATCAGCCACAGTCAGGAAGTGTCTGCCTCTTAGTATGCAAATTTTGCCAGAAAGGCAATCCAGTCTTTTAAAAATATGCAGTTGGCAAAACTGGAGAATGTATTGGTTGAAAATATTTTTTGTATGTGGAATATTTTAATAGTTTGATTTTTCCAGTTTAGAACTTCTATTACATTGCCCTTTCTCCTTAAAAATACTTTAAATTCAATTTAAAGGAACACCAATAGAAGAAAGAATTGTTCCTGTTTATTATTCTGTCTTCCTTATATATTTATTTCATTCAGGGATGGAGAACCTTTGTAAAGGAATGAAGAGTCATAACAAACAGTGAAAGATAAAATGGTGACATTGAAAGCATGGCTCATGAGTTGAATAAATGTATGTAAAAATGTACATTAATACAAACATTAAATATGTAAAACAAAGTGTAAACACAGTGTTTACAGTTATTATGAAGAATATTTCTAGTGTTATCTATTGGATCTACAGAAAAAATACAGAGAAAAAATTAATGAACAAAAGAAAACTTCACTTTGACAAAAAGATAATCCAAACACTATATAATGGACAAAATATTACTAGTTGTGGAATTCTACATCTCCATGAGGAAATATTTAAAAGCCTAGGGCTTTAAAAACGTAGTATGGCAACTAGCTGCAAGAGATGAAATAAAATCTGAAAATATAGGGTAGGCAGGTTAAACAGCAGACTTTCTAGGAGACTGAATATTCAGGACAATTGAAAGTCTTTATTATCACTTCCTCCTTTGTGTTTAAGAAGAAGTACAAATAGATAGTCCATCCATTCAGTGGAAAGTCTGTTGTCTGTCAGAATCCTCTTGGGTAGGTCTCACAGTGCACAGAACTTGCTTTTCGAGGGTCTCATCCAAAGTCAAGCATTGTATTGATCATGGCAACTTGATTTTCATCTTGTTCCAGCAGAAAAATAATGAAAGAGTCTTGCAAGGCAATATGGGAGTTCTTCATTGCATCTCTTTCACGTTCTCTGTGGAGACATAAAAGATACCCATCTGGAAAGCTAACAGTCCATTGTCATTCTGAAACATTAAATGCACATGAAAGGCTGTTAAAGTACAGATCTCTGCACTTCACTAGCTGTTCACCACCTCCTGCAGATATCCAAGGGTTTGTTGTCAGGACTTGGTAATAGGTAGCAAACTGTAAATATTCACTATCACATTATTTTAGCTTCATCACTAAAATAATCACTGACTAAACAAAGGAAGAAAATGGAAAACTATATGTTGAAGAAAAAAAGCTCTCATCCTATGTTATATACATATTACAAGTTACATGTGCAAGGAGTGGTCATGGTGTCACTTAAACCCCCTCTCACTCATTATATATTTTTTTAAAGTACCATGAAGGTTTTGGATAATTTTACTGAGGACATGCTGTTGTTGAATAGGAAATTTTTGTCTTCAGCAGATAGCCCACTGTATCTAATAGTTATACTAATACATATATATCTATATATGTACATACACATATATATATAAATGCAATTATGCCATTAGTAAAATGATGTCATCAAAATACATCAAGCATATATATAAGCTACATAGTTATTTAAAAGCTAAGGTGTTCGGAGTCTGAAAAGGAAAGGAATAATATTGCAAAAGTTCCAAATAACCATTAGAAAATAGTTAGACATCATTTTGGCTTGCTATAACTTGATAAAAACAAATAAATTTTAAGAAGTCCATTCTGGAGAATTGTCAGTGTAAAACCTGTGGTATGAAGCATCTCTTTGGAGCTGATATTTCATCCAAGTTTATTTTCTTGGTGCCATCATGTGGATAAAACAAAAATTACTGTGAAAAGCCCAGAACTCAATGCAATTCCTGTCAAGCTTCCAGATCTGTAGTGTTTGCAGTAAGTCCCCTTTACTGACATCACTTATTTATAGAAAGTACAGTATAAAATATATGACCATAATCTCCTTCAGATGCGTCTTATGGAAGAAAACTTGAGGGACCACCAGAGAGCTCAGGATGAGGCAATAACAAAAACTCAGTTGCTGGAACAGACTGTGAAGAGCTTGGAGTATGAACTGGAAGCCAAAAACCACTTAAAAGACGATCGGGCAAGACAAATCAAACTAATGGAGGTAAAAGACATCCTTAAGGGTTTGTTTCTTATTTGAAGAAATTAAAATAATACTGGTATTTCACATGGTTTCTGCCAGGGAAGACTCAAAATAGCTTGATGTTGTTGAAAAGCCACGTAGTATTACAGCAGGAATTATTCTGGAGTATTCTAAAGGTGATCTGTTAGCATATCTATTGTAGCATGATGTGTTCTAAATTACAGCTGGTCTTTCGTCATTTTAATTGACTTCTTGTTAATTAATTTTATCTGGAGTTTATCAGGCAAATTTGCATTCATTTCATTCGTAGGCCCATCGCTGAGAACTTTAAGAGTATTTCGAAGTGTAAGTTCTATTTAGCATTTGATATCAGTTCATTTCAGGAGTCTGGATAACATCAGGATTTTGCCCACCTGGTTACAGGGTCAGCTTTGTAACTGTTCACTTCAACTAGGCTGCCACTTGACTTTCATAAACAAACACCTTAGTAGCATTGTACTCATGTGAAAAGAAAATTGTCTTCCAAATGTGTGATGTAATTTAGACACTCAGAAGAAGTCTCTAGAAACATTACAGAATTTCTCTTATTTTCTTGAAAGTGGTGGGAGTGATTAAAAAAAGGAAGCAAAGTGTCTATTTTACTTCTGTCAGACAAACAAATTCACTTTAAAGGCTTCTCTACCTGCCATCTTTTTTGGTAGATTCTGCACATGTTTTAAGAGGCATTTCAGTTTTCAGGCCTAGTCTTTCCAATAGTTTGAGTCCTGAAGTTTAAGGAATAGCAATCTGAAGAGGATGGGAAGTAGTATGTTGAAATTACTTTTCTTTGTTCCACTTAGGACAAGTTGTCTAACCTGGAACTTGAGCTTGATGAAGAAAAGACTAATTCAGATTTGTTGTCTGAGAGGATCAGCAGATGCAGAGAACAGGTACTTGAACAAGTTTCCTTTTGTATGATGGTTCTATGAAAAAGTATTATTAGGGTCACAATCAATATTGATCAACTCAATAATGATTAGCATAGGACTTATCTGCTATACTTAAAAAGAGTATGAAAACCCAAAACCCCCAAGTTCCCATCACGAGTAAATATGCTCCTTCACGTCATCACAGACCAATTTTTTCATGTTTTCCTAACTGGAAAACAGACACAGAATGTATATAAAGCCTGAAGACTATTATCATACTCTAATATTCTTGATGAGCTTCATCAGGTAATCACTGATGCATGCAGAGATGATGCTATTTCAGACTCAGTTTTGGGGCTGAGGCTGTCAGAGAAAGGCCGTTGTGAAGAGTCTTTTAAATTGAAAGATCATGATTTTACTCTTACTGGAAAGTAATTCAGCATAATAGAGTCTTGATTTCAAATGAGGAGGAGGAGGAGCTTAGGAAACTGTGGAATTAATGAGTGAAATCAGCTGAACTGAGGATGCTAGACCAGAGAGAGAGCTTTGTTTTCATTACAAGTGTAAAAACGGATTAAGGTATGTTGAAGGTAAGATAGTTGGAAAGCATTTTCCACATAAAAACATCAACCTTTTGTTCCAGAAATGTTATGTTCAATAGTCCAGAAAGAAGGGAAGAAGGACTTATTAATGAGGTTGTGTCTAATGGGGCAGAAAATGTGAAGATAAAGTGATAGGTCTCACTTAGCTCAGCAACTATCATAGTAATTCAAACAAGTAAGAAAAAGAATTTTGACTGTGTAAGTAGAGAAGTTGTGGAGATTGTATGATGAGGCCTCAATCAAGATAAAAAGTACTCCAGGTATGCCCTCAAATATATATATATATATATATATATATTCCTTTATATTCAAATAAAGAAATATTTTACTTCTGTCTTCTGTAAGGCCAGTGAATGTGCAGGTGGGGCCAAGTAAAGGGAGTGTATTGCAGATGAGACCTTTGAGTTGGAAATCACTAAGTGTTAAGAGAATTAGGAGGTCATTAAAGGCCTTATTAGTATTATTTGAGATTTCTGAAAGAACTGACATAGGAAATTATAGGTCCTGTAACAAAGATTTATAATAAACCAGAAAAGTAGAGTATAGGGCCTGATTACTGCAGAAGTAGCCAGAGCACCTATGGCTGAGTAGTCAGGATTATGCAAGTTTTTTATTAGTTCACGAAAAGGAATACAGTGATGTGTCTGCCTTGGAATATCATGGTCTAGACAGTGTTCCTTGCCTTAGTTGTGCATTCTGAAAGATGTGGAACTGCTGCATAACTCATTACAGCATGTTTACTGCTACATGAACTTCATGTAACTCTACATGAAGTGCTAGAGCTCACAGGAATTTCCTAGAAGTCCAGGAGACAATTAACATTGAGGTACAACAATAATCTGTTTTCATTTCTCTTTCTTTCTCCTGAAAAAAAAAAAAAAAAGAACTGCAGACATTCTTTTGAATAGCTTTAGCTTCAGAGGGAGAACAGAAAGTAAAATCTTAGTTTCTGTGCCTTTTTGATGCAATTGTGTGTTCCACTGAGGCAGCTGGGGAATTTAAAGTGAGTTAGAGCTCAGCTTTCTTTTCACACATCCTTGAAGCACCAAGGCTCCATCACTGCTTTGTGTGGACTCAGGTTACTGAGATTCTGTTTGACTCTGATACAGACTTTTTGCTCTTGTTGCACTGATATTGTACAGAGCCCAAGGCAGTGGGTGAAACAGAATATAAAGGACCATCATAATATGGGGTTATGCTATTGTTAAATCAGGAAGCCTTCAATACTGGAGTCTGTGCCTGTCTTGTAAACCTGGGATAAAAGAACTTTAGTTACAGCTGCACTACAACTATAGGAAGTTAATTTGCTAACTGAATGGAAACCAAAAATACAGTTTGGTGACCAAAATGTTACATAATGGGTAAAAAATGTGTTTATTTTGAGGTCTGGAGTTTCTCATTTCACACATGAGTTACAAAGGTTGCTTTGTTTTGATTTTATGCCAGAATGACTAAGTAGTCAAATTACTAAAGAGTATTTCAGGGTCTGCTAAGCATTTATAATGACATGAGAAACTATAATGGATTTGTTTTGGTAATATCTGTATTTCTGTACATTTTTCAAATTATTATTATAAATGTGTTATTTTAGCATACCAATAATGAACTATAATACTCAAATTTCCAGTAAAAACAAATTTGTACAACCTCTTCTATTTTACATAAAGCTGAATGTTCGAATAAACATTGGCAGGACTAACAGTTCACATTTCATTTACCACAAAATGTTATTCTTTTTTAATTTAAACACCCTTTTGAATCTGGATGGTTGCATGAGACACTGTTCTCATCTCCTGTGCATTCTCAGGAGGTTCCACAGCAAAGTGGAAACAGGGAAAAGTGGGTCATATCCTATTAGTTTTAAAATGATAAGGTATTAGTAACTGTAGAAAGACCAAAATGATCAACACACACACACACACATGTGGAAAGCCTGAGTGCTCAGCTGCTCTTTGAGTCTAAAGTGAGCAGGGACAGGACACATTTTACTACATGATGGATTCTTTTCCTACAAACAAGAGAAATGAAGTGCCTCTTGCCATGTTGGTTTTGCTAACATGATTGAAAAGTGCTTAACATTCCTTCATCAGTTCCTGTATTCTGTGAAAATGCAAACATGAGTCTATTAACTTCAGAGTTGTTTCCAGTAAGTGTGAAAAAGGGACTAATTAGTTTTCTTGACAATTTTACAATAAATAAAAAAGGATAAAATTGTGCTGACTGCATCATTCACTTCCTATTGGTGAAGTCTTCCCAATGAATAGCTGTATACCTGCTCTTTAGCTGGCTCCAGGTGTGGGAAGCAAACAAGTGAAAATGTGGATATGAAGGCTGCTTTTCAATTATGAAGTATCAAAGGGGTTTGTTTGGCTTTAGCTTGTTTGTTAAACATTGGGGTTTTTGGTCACATACTTGAAAACTGTGTATGTAGGTGTTTATATAGGCACACACACACACACATATATATATATATGTATATTACTTTACTTAGGAGTTAAGAAACATAGGCTGTAAACCTAGTGCAGGATGGTAAACAATAGTGACAGCATCTAAAACATTATTAGAAATCAAATTGCTTTCACTAATAATGAATTCAACAGCTGCTTCTAATCCTAAAGCTGGCACAAAATGCTAGTATGTCTGATAAAGCTTTCTAAAATCTGATACTGTTGTTTTTCTCATTTTTTTTGTTGTTAACGTTCTTCAAATCCAGCTGTGATAACTTAAGCTGCAGAAATAGTTTGTTCTTTTATTGTAATTAAAATATATTAGATACAGGAAAGGTAGAACATGAAGCAGAGTTCCACATGGAACATGGAGTTTGTGCTGTGGCACTGGTGTGTTCTTCTCACTGCTGGGAAATAAGTGAGACTGAGCACATTTTGGCAGACAGGGGCTTTTTTTTGCTTTGTGCCTGTTAATTATGAGTCTACTATTGAAAAAATGGGAGGAGATAAGTGAAAACAGCAAGAATTGTGTCCTGCTGTCCTTCTCTTTTTCCAACCTCCCGTATATATTTGCACGTAGCTGTCTGAGCCTGATCAGATGTAGCACTTTTTCTCTCTCCTATTATTCTGTGAAGTTGTGTTTACCAAGAGGTGTCCAACAACAGTAGCAGTCATCTTGGAAATATAATAATTGTCCTCTAAATAATTCCTTAATTTGAATCTTGGGAAGGTTGCACAAATTTGTCACAGCCTTTGAGCACAGTAAGAGCACAGTGAAACTTTGGAGTGGTCCATTAAGCAAGTTCCTACATAAAACAAAACCCCTTTCTTCAGTTAGCAGTTACATTTTTAATTAGTCATTCATTTTACCACAAATTTTGCTTTATTTCTTTCTGTGTCTGTCTTGATGGCTAAAGCAATTACAGCAGAATAAATTCTAGGTAATCCCTCACATTATAAATTTTTTTCACCTATTTAATGAATAAATGCAGCCATTGTACAAATGGGTGATTTTAATTTGTGTCTATAAAATAATATTTTAACATATAAAATAAAATTTTACTATATAATGTATAAAATTTTGTGATTATTAGCTTTCTGTGTGACAGTGAGAGCTTTTGAGAAATTACCTGGCTGTTGAGAACACAGCCATGAGCTAACATTTGTATTCTAGTAGCTGTTCTGACCTTAGTTTTCAGAAATGCCTTCTAGTCTTCTGAAACCATAGTGTGACATAACATATGCAACTGCATGCATTGCTAGGGTGGTTTGTATTCATATAGTAATTTCAAAGCTACAGAAACAGTGTAAGTTATTTCCTTTAAACACGTGATTAACTAAAAATATATCTTTTAATATTATAATGTGGTTAAAAAAAAAGGCCTAAGGCAAATTTTGATGTGCTGCACTTTTTTGACCTTCACATTCTTAGCATTGCTTTTGGATTTTTTTTATGCAAGAATTCCCAATGACTTTGGTAAGACCTTTACTGAGATAAATCTGTAACTTAGAGCTGCCTAGCTGGGATGGTGTGTTTATGCAAGTTCATATGTAACTGATGTAGAGCAGGGAAGAATGCTGTGGCCACTGCAGTCTTTATCAGTGTTTTTGCAGGTACAGTGATTGGCAGAGATGTTCACTGTGTTCCCCAGCTGATTCAGCATCATAAACACTGTGCAGGAAATAGCACAAATGCTGTGGTAACATTTGCTGTGCCTACAAAGACTTGAGGGTCTTTGTGAAGACTTGAGGGTCTCAGCAGAAACGAGAGTTAACAGAAGTATTTCAGCACTGCAGATTTTTCCTTCAGCTCTAAAGTTTCAGTAGCAGCTGCTGAGCAGTTCAGAGTTTCTCTTTGAGCCTCAAATTTAATATTCTTTTTCCAGTCAAGTCCAATAGTGAGATGAAACAAACTCATGCTGCATTCTTACATTGACTCTGGATGGATCAGGTAGTTTTTAACATCTTTCTTGTGGTTATTGAATATGCAGCTGAAATATTTACAGAAACTGGAGCAAAAGTTGTCTTTTAACAAGACAGGCAAAAACATCCCCTCCCCAAACTTAGAAGTTGGTGCTCCCAGTATGACAGACATAACACTGATCAGAGGAGGGGAGAAATGTTCATGTCCATTATGCAGCAGAGTCTGTTGAAAAAGAGATTTTACTGTTCTCATTCATATAGAAAACTACAATTGTCTGTAGAGTGTTTCACTGAGTTCTGGGCACTTCTCTGCAGCTACAAGTTTGTGTTTAATAAAGTGAAACTTTATTTAGACTAGTCAGCAGCTTAAAGGTAAGATGTCATTTCAGAGGTTCAGATTTAAGTATGGAGACAACAGTTTAGAGTTCAGTTCCTTGCTCCAGAACATGTATATTGAACATCAACAATATCCACTGTGGCTGTAAAATGCCTAGGGTAAGTACTGGGAATAACATCAACTCCCTGAAGTGGAAAATTTTGTTCAAGATTGTAACTGTAAAGCTCATCTGAAATCACGTGGATGTCTTGAATTCTGAGAAAGGGCATTTCTTCTCACTGCATAGGTATGCCTACATTATATATATACATACACAAAGTATCATATAGATAAATGTAAATGAAATCTTTTATTAAAATTTCTCTTTTCTTTCTATGATAGATTGAACAAATGAGGACAGAGCTGCTTCAGGAAAGAGCTATAAAGCAAGACTTGGAGTGTGACAAAATTTCGTTGGAAAGACAGGTGACTATATCAGGCTGTAAATCCTTTGACCGCTTTCAGAAGAGCTGTAAAGTCTGTAAAGTCTTAACTGTGTTTCTGGAACACTGTTGGAGATACAATTTCAAGCAATTGTGATTTTAGTTGAGTGTTTTCTCCCATAGGAGTAGAGAAGTTTTCTGCAGCTCAGTGATCTTTGAAAGCAGGATTACTATCGTGGCCCTTAGCTGAGATCCAGAGGAAAGCTATCTTAGCAAGTCATAGTATTGTTGACAAGCACAAGAACGTAAAACAGATTGTAGTGGGAATTTAGAGAACATGTTTGTACCACACACCTCATTTGGTGCCTTAGATTATGTGAAATTAATCTCAAATCGTTTGAGAAAAAAGAATGCCACCTACTGGTATATACTAGGTACAGTCTTATACTTTAGTTCTGGCTTTTTTATCATAGTCCTTTTTGAGACCTGAATTCATTCTTTGAAGTTCTGTAACAAAGAGCTTTATTTTCTATTTCTCATGTTACTCTTTTTTTGCCTTTTTTTTTTTTTTTCCTGGCAACTCTTTCATTAGGTCCTCATTGAAAACCTAAATTACCGGGCCTCAGAAAAATGGAAGTGTGAATCTGAGCAAAAACTTCTGCTTTTACAAATCTTTTTCAAACTATTTATGTAGTAGGTGTAACATTGGATAGTTAAGAAAGGGAGGGGGAAACTCAGTAACAGCTTTGATAGAGTAAAACGATATTGGATGTAATTTCTTTGTCTGCTTGTTGTAGCCATACACCAGGGAGTTACAGGAGAAGAACACAGAATTTGACAAAAGAATTGTGTGGAGCATAAGACAGATCTGACAGAGTATTTGAAAAAAAAATTGGCATATTAAAAAATACTGTTGGAAGGGGCTTGCAACTCTCTGAAATTCAAGGCTCCATTTAATCTTAAAACCTAACTGAAGCTGAACACTAAATTCTTTTTGATAAGGCACAGTCATAGAAAATCTGTTTGTAGTAAATTGTGAAATCTCACATTCTTTTTCCACGTTTACTGAACTAAAAATATAGTGATCACCTTATGTTTTCCTGAAGAAATTAATTTTTTGTTAAGGTGATATGTGTTAATTGGAGTATATAAGTAGTAATCAAGTGTGTTCCAACCCTAGAACAAAGACCTGAAGAGCCGAATCCTTCACCTGGAGGGTTCTTACCGGTCCAGTAAAGAGGGACTTGTTGCTCAAATGGAAGCAAGGATCACAGAGCTGGAAGAGCGACTTGCAAATGAAGAAAGGTGAAACTAGTTGTTAAGATCAAAACATGTGTGTTTATGTTTTTATTATGTCCTCTTGCTAATATTAAGTCTCTATTACAATTAACTTGATATTTTTTTTTCCTCACAAGCACAAAATTAAAATGGTTACTGTTTCATAAAAGCATTGCAAATTTTCTTTTTGACTGAAAGCACAGTAGAAGTTGTCTTATAAATTTAAAACTGGGCACTGTAACGTGGTTCCATAGCTCCTTGTCTTATCAACGGCTAATATCAGTAATAGACTTAGAAATATTAACTGTATTATAACACTTCTGCTTTCATGTTCACTTCATTCTCCAATCTTATCTCTAATTTTTGTTTCTAAATGTTGCTCTGGTGACAGAAGAAATTCCACTTAGTCCTTCATACTTTTGAACAAATTTCTTAATATGTTGCATGGAACCAGTAAATCAAAGTAGGGACCATTAGTAGTTATTTGATTCTTAGAAGATTGCTATGGAATTTTATCATGATTGGAAGTATTTCAGTTCCTTTTTTACAAACGTGTCTTTTGTTTGTTTGTTTGTTTTCTAGGGATAGAGCGAATTTCCAACTAAGTAACCGCAGACTTGAGAGAAAAGTGAAGGAGTTAATGTTGCAAGTAGATGATGAACATCTGTCACTGACTGATCAGAAGGACCAGGTAGACTAATATGCCAATATCTGATACTAATCCTACTAACATAAATCATCATGTGTAAGAGATATGAGAAGAATGTAGGTAGATGCTGATGACTCTGTTGTTTGTGAACTCCCACCGAGTGAGATTTGCAGTTGCCGTTGTCATCATGTGCTTTTGTCTGGTACTAAATGGTTATTCATTTTTGAAATTATGAAAAGAAAGCACTTGTAGAAGCAATACTGTAATTATTTTAAGAAATAAAGCAGATAACAGACAGTAATTGATCCTATAAATACACCAACAAATAATATGTTCTGTTTTGCCACTATAACATTTTGTTTAAAGAAACAAGTTGTTTATTGTTAAGTATAGGCTATAAGTATTAAGCATACATTGATGTTCTAATAGCAATATGCTCTACCATTCCTGTGGTCTTTGTTGATTCCTTGCTTAAAACTTGACTTGTTTCAGCCCGTGAGTCAAACAGTAATGTTCTGCCCAGAGAATGAACAGTTTGTTTCAAATTGCAGACATCTGTTAAGATTATCTGTAAAAAAAAAATAAATGGTATCCCATCACTTCTCTTGAAGTCTAATGCTGACTTTCAGATATTTCTGAAGCAGAGGATTACAGTGTCACTACACTGGCAAAGTTTTGTCTTTATTCTCCCTCTCATAGATGCTGGAAGAATAAAATTCCTTTAATTAAAACAGTCCTCTAATCAGCTGACATGTAAATATTTCAGTTGAGTTTGCGTTTGAAAGCAATGAAACGTCAGGTGGAAGAAGCTGAAGAAGAAATCGACAGATTGGAGAGCACGAAAAAGAAACTTCAGAGAGAACTTGAAGAGCAACTCGACATAAATGAACAGTTGCAAGGACAGCTTAACACTGCAAAGAAAGAGTTAAGGTAGGATGGCTCCTCAGACCTACAGTTGTGTATCACACCACCCCTCACAAGTTTGACCTCTTGCTCCTGTAGTCCATAAACTGAGGGCTTCCTCTGTCTCGTAAGCAGACAGAGTTTAAGACACAGACCTGTGAAACTCTTCTGCATTTCCTTTCTCTGCAGATGTTCTCCGACTCTTTCTAGTGTGCTCTAGGTGTCCCAACCTTTCCAGGGTCTCCCTGCTGAATAAAGTCATTGAGGCAGGGCATATAAAGTGGAAAAAAGTGTGGGACTTGACACTGGTATTGTTTGTAGTAATAAAAATTTCCTGCTAATGGCTGAGGTGTACAGTTATCCTGTGTTAGTTTTCCTTAGCTGTCTTTGAACATACCAGTGTGCAAAGTTTACAGTTTCCCCTGTCTGTCGCTTTAAAGGGGCTTGAAAATGTGGTTGCTTGCTCTTCACACTCTTGCACATTCCTTTCATGTAAGGTGTACTCCATGAAAAACTGTCCCTGTTGAAGCACAAGTTTCTTTGGCATCCTTTAAAAACATAAATCCTACCAGTCGATGTTTTAAGCTTTGTATAAATGTTGTGCATGTAGATGTGCTGTTTTAATAGCAAAGATCTGTATTTTTGTTTTAGTAGACTGAAGAAGTCACCAAGTAAAGTGTTGGCTGATTCTGATGATGATGACGACGACGATGACGATGATTTCAGCACAGATGGTGACAGTCTCTGTGAAGTACCTTCAGGAAATAACTTTTCAAAAGATGATGACACAAAAATCTAAATAATTAATGATGTGATTCCTTGAAAGTACTGGAAGAATAACATAAATTATCAAGAAACTGGATGTTCTAGAAGCCAAATGACATAAAGGGATATAAAAGAGTTGGGAATATAATGTTTCCATCCATACTGTGCCATTTTCTTATTTAGATCTCCACTGTTTATTATAGGATTGCTTTATAAAACAGCTATAAAACACAAGATGTATATAGCAGCTACTGAAAACACAGGGATAATGTTTCATATTGGAAATGGGATTTTGCTAAAATTCTGTTTAAGTAAAAAGCCATTTGAAAGTAATTCAAAATTAGTTTTTAGTTATTAAAAGCTTTTCCCTAAAATTAAGGAAACCACAGAAGATTATTTAATAATTGTAAGTAGGGGGAAATGATGTATAAAATGTAAATATTTTAAACTTGATCTTTTTATTGACTACTTTAGTACTATTTTGTAAAGTTTCTAATATTATATAAATCAGTTTGATATGTAAAGTCCTTAAATTTATATTGAATGCTATATTTGAGTTCTCAGTAAGAGGAAAACAAATGAAAATGAATACTTTTTGTGCATTACAGAGCAGATTCACAGTTCCTGGGCCAGGAAGTACATTTTAAAAACCAGTGGAAGTTTTATTGTATGTTCTGTATGTTAGAGGTCAAATGTTAATCCTGCCTGTTGACTTTAAAAGGACCAGCACGTCTGCATGATGAGAGAGGCCTGCCTACAACTTCCTCATCCACTTCAGTTGGGAAGCTTTCTGTTCTTCGTAGGGAAGGGTGAGAATGATGGCAGTTATTACTTGGTATCTTTCATTTCCTGAAAGGAAGTCAGTCCTACCAGAGGCAGAATGTTAAATCAGCAGCCTGCTGATTTGAGGACATTGGGACAGTCTTATCTTCAAGTTTTTAAAGAGTCCCCCTTGTTTCAGTAAAATTCGTTGTGGTCTTTGAATTAAATACATGTTTAAATCTGTTCAGTAATTGATACCAAAATTTTATGCTTGCTTGCAAGAAATTGCACCAGGGAAACACAAAACATGTAACCTGATTTTTATTGAGCATCTGTTTGTGATATATTGCAGTGTGTGGTCATATTTGCAGATATATATTAGTATTTCAGTTTACAGAAGTATTTTGGGCGATCCATCTATTCAACAAACTTTGTGGGAATTTTAAAAGAAAGAGCATTGAAGATTTTATTTTATAAACATTTTCCATTTTGTTGCTAAAAATATTTTTTTGCCACTTATATCACACTAGACTGGTTTTGCTCCTTTGCAAATCTAGGATTCTATGGAAGGGGCACTACTACAATAGTTAGGTCTTGTCCATTTTTTAGTATTTGTCCCCAGTTACAGGTTAGTGAGCACTTCTTCACTCATTCAGTCAAGAAATAGTGTAATTGTAAAAAATACTTTGAACTGAAGTCGCTGGGAGCCTCCAGTATTCCCACAAAGGAATCCACTGAAGAGAGCAAATTTAACAGCTCTGAAAGTGAGGCTGATAGACTGGGTTAGGGCAAAACTCCTGACAATGGCAGGATCCCTTTTCATGCAGTTACGTGGAAGGAAGCTCCTGCCTGCGGGAAATATATTCGTGCATAGCAGATCACAGACTCTTTTGCCATGGAATTCCCTTCAACTTGAGTTTGATCATTTGAATTATATGGGAAATAATATGAATGGCATAGTTGTAATACTGTCTCTGTATTTTGTATGTGTTCAAGTAGCAAACAACGTGTATTTTTTGCAGTAGCTTTACTGTTTTGACAACACTGAAACAGCCTTTTGTCCAAGGAGACCTGCACTACACTGTACTGACAATCATCAGAGAACGTCCTGTGATTTATATGTTGTTGTTTCATTTGCATGTTTATGTAGACTTACCTTTAAACAACTGATTCCAACCCCCAGAACTTTATCCTACAATGTTCATAGATGACTCTTATTTCAAACCACTGGAAGAAAATCACTTAATATTGCATCTACCTCCAGTTACACTAAACTGTAAACTAAAATTCACTTAAAATAAACAGTCAGCTCTCTCAGTTCTACCTTGTATGTGCATATAGCTTGATATGACAATTGAATTTCATATGGAAAACGAATGTGTTTAAAAAATAACAAGAAAATAATTACCCAGGAAATACTGATGCTGTGAACAAGTTTCTGCATTTTCTTCTCTTTGGATGGCTGTTTTCTTTGTAACTTGTAAAGAGGTGGCAGGTGTAAGATCTAGAAGACTCCACATTTGAACTTAGAAGGAGAGAGACATTGTTTATTTGCAGACTCTTACTGGGAGAGACCTTTCTTGTTACACATCCCTCCCCACCCGTGTTTTCAGAAAAAACAGTTTGTTCATTTAGACTTGGAAATGGCATTTCCTCTTTAGAGTTCTCAAATCATATGACTAAAATCAAAGAAAATCTTAAGACACTCAGTATTTCAACTCATTCACAAACCAGTTGGTAGCTCTGTTTCCCGATACATGCTGGCTTTGGGGATGGCAAAATCATCTTGATTGCCACAAACAAGATTGATAATAGTTTAAGGACATCTGATTTGTTCATCTCCTATTTATTTTTATCAAAACTCATCTTAAGTCAAGGTTTAGTTTAGAAAAATTTTCCTGATATTTTCATGTAATCCATTTTTGAATGAATTTCAGGAGAAGCTCTTGACCCATAAAAGGAAGCAAGAGGGAGAATATGTAAGGAAACATGGCTGTGAGACATCCAGTCCCCAGAAGTTTGTATAAACATCAAAGTTTCTGATGGATTACAGAGATGTGGCTTGAATTCTGAGCTGTAGAGTCCTTCAGATTTCTTCCATGGTACTATAATATCTCTTAAACAAACAGACCCAAGCTAAATCATGTTTTCTATAAGCCTAACCTGATGACTTTTATAGTGGATGCTTCTCTCTCATTAATCTGCAGTGAACAATGAACTTTTTGTCCTCTATGGAATTAATGGCCTTGGTTTCCTGAGCCTTCTTTTGTAGATAAGAGAATACAAGTTAACTTCTCCAAGAGTGTTTTGATGTTTTAAGTCACCAGCATTGGGCAAGTGCTCCAAGATCTTTCCATGGCAATTGCTATACAATGCAAAATATATGAATGTTAAACAATCAAGTGAACAAAATCCTGCTGTCCTCCATAGACTCTTCACTCACTGTCCAAGTAATGAAATGAAGGATATTCATCATAATAATGCATTTTAATTCCCTTGAGTTTGGAAAGCATCCCTATTCATAAAAGCATTAAGGTCTTTCAGACATCATATCTTTTGTTAGTGCCCAGAGGAAAAACAGAAAAGGAAAAGTTGTTGTCTTCTTGCTGTCCCCTACCTGCTTCCCTGCTCTTCATTTAAGGAAAGCCCTATATATGCAAATACCTCGTTAGTTCAGCACTGTGCTTTTTATTGTTTAATCACCACACAGGTTCCCCCTCACAATGTAGTCTCTTGGTGATTAGACTATAAATTGTTGACTAATCTGTGTATTCCTCTGATTTATCCTCTTTCTTCTCAACTTAATTCTTTCCCTTTTCCTGATTAAATAATCTGTTCTGATTTACAGATAATTTTCTAAACTGTTCCAGAAGCCATGTGTTTTCTTTATTTTGTACAGACCAGCTGTGTGCTTTGCAGAGTGAGCTACACAGTGCAATAGCTTTTAAGCCTTTTCTGGATCACACAGCATATTTTAGTAATTAGATGTTGATTCTTTTAGCTTACTGGGGCTTCCTATCCTGTGAGTAGAGCTGCACATTTCAGCTGCTTAATTTCTACCAACTGCAAAATGTTCAAAGACTTTGCCAAAAGAGGAACATTCCTTAGAGATTTCCAGGGTTTCTAACACATTTAATTTCTTTTTTTTCTTTTTTTTTGCATAAGGTTCTGACTAGGTCACATGTTTAACCCTCTGACCTTACTGTGTTATAGTGGGAGAAGTTTCACTGTTGTTTCAAAATTTAATCATGAGCAGTGGGCTATTGAGGAAAAAGGTACAGAAATTAATGGAAAGGTTTTTTGTTTTTTGTTTTTTTTATTCTCAGTGTTTCTTTTAACGTATAAGAAAGGAAAGCCTTAAGAAGAAGGAGAGTAAAGTTCAGCAGACAAGGTCAAGTCCAGCAGTCAGTTTGGCCCTTCAGTGGTTGGTACCAGTGAACCTCAGGTGACATAAGCAGAGACTGTGTTTTATGTAAACAGGAACATTTGCTGTTTTCTCCACTTCTAATAACAATTTGGTGTTTTGCTTAGATCCTGAAGCTTGCCATTAGCAGAAGAATAGGCAGTTAAAAAATTTTACTTGAATTTGGGGCACAAATATATAATGAAAGTTTAAGCTCTCAGAGTTGTCAGTAGGAAACTGTAGGAACAGTCCATTGTGAGTGCAGGGAAGGGACTCATTCTAGGTAACCTGAGTTTTGCTGTGCCTTCTGTGCACTTCTGCTTCTTCAGCAGAATGGGCTTTCTAAACAGGGCTTCATATATTAGGTTACAAAGCTATTTTCACTAGTTTCAAGCACTCCTTTCACTTTGGTTGCATGCAGTCTGGCTAGGGTGGACCCTGCCAAAAGTCATAATATGAAGTAAGGGAAAAATACAGACAGCAGGCAAGATCAACCCATGATCTGGTTCTGGTTAATTTTGATTTCGACCGTCCCTTCACTCTTCTTAAAGAGTTGCTTAAACCATCATAAACATAGAGATACCTGCCTTGAGCTGGGATCAGTATAAGATTTTATTTCCAGGGAAAGACAGTAGAGGTTCAAGATCAGGATGGTAAGGAGCACATTGAAGCAGTGCATATGAAAGTAGTGTGAGGAAATGCCTATTTCCTGTGTATATTTGCAGCAAAGATTCTCAAGAGAGTCCAGCTGAGACAAATGATAGTGGTGGAAAAGGAGCAGCATATGTTTCTGGTATTTCTGTGGATGCACTGGTAATGGAGACTGATGAGCTGCGTATCCCTGGGCAGCAGGAGTAGTTCTGTTTTGCAGAAATGCTTTCAGAATCTTCCAACTTTGGATATTTCAGTGTTTGCCAGTATCAGAGGCATCTATTTTGTGTGACTTATATTTTATCTTATATTTTTCCAGAAAGAAATTGTGTGTGTAGTTCTGTGTTTTCCATTGGATTTGGCTTTTTGTTAAAAGATGTGTTTACTTTTATGGCCTTGGAGTGGAAAGAGAGATGAGACTGTTTAGGATTCATCCCTGGGAAAACTCAGTCTGTGCCGGAAGTAAAATTTACTTTTCTGGAAAGCAGTTCCACTGTGCACAGCAGGGCTGGGCTGGGGCCTGGAAGTTCACCCCTCACACCCACAGAGCTGGCTGTTCTCATCCCAGCCTGGCCTTTTCCTGGGAGCTGAGGACTGAGGCCTGGAACTTGGCTGAGGCTGCCAGCGTGTGATTTCTGTACTACAGATGAGATTGAGATTTGTATACTTTTAATTTTGTTCTTCAAGTCTTTTGGTTAAATCATAGCAAATTCTGTTTAAAGAAAAAGGACTCCCTGGGCATTCGTGACTAGAGCATGTAAGCGCAAATAGATGTGCACACAGTCTGAAGGCAGAGGGAGATGGGTGTGAATCTCTGGGAGTGCTGTATCAGCTGATTTGGTTCCTGCCTGAAAACACAATCCCAGCTGTTTAAAGGTGATACACAAATTCAGTGGCTGGGGTCACACTGTGGATACTGTAAATCCTTCCCAGCGCAGACCACTTTGATCTGAGTTCCAGCATTTTCTTGCTTATCTGCTGTGTGAAAGAGCTTTTTGGCAGAGTCCTAACAAGCCTATTAATTTGTCTTTTAAACACTTTCCCAAAAGGAAAATAAGGGAAGCTGAACCATCTAGAGAAGATAGGGTGGTCTAATAGTTGGAAAAAGAACACAGAGAAGCAGGAGGATTCTAGTTTTTAATCTGTTTGAGCTGCTGTTTCAGTCCTTGACCTTCTCGTACTTTTGTCAGCATGCCTAGAACATGGAGCACTAGACCTTGAAAACTTGATACTATGTCTGCATTGAAACTTCCTGGATAAAAATGTTAGGAAGAAATGGCAGGGATCTGATTTTTACAGTGAACCTGATTTCTGTGCTTTCTCTGCTCTGTTTATCCTTTGCCCTGCAGTCTGTGACATGCTGCAAGGCTTTCCAAGCAAGGAGCTGTTTTACCTGCCATACATCTGAGACTGAAGGTCTTCTGCAGGCTCTGCAGTAACCAGCAGGCTCTGTGGAGTGTCTTTCCTGCAGAACAACAACCTGAAGTCTACATTTCCTTGCTTTACAGGGAGCTTCAAATTTGGGGTTCTCCAAAGAAGAAAAGAGTTTATGGTGTAACAGGTAGAATGGCTATGAAAATTGGGAAGGAAAAGAATAAATTAAGTCAAATGAAACTATGTAAAAGCTGTAAATGAGCCAACCAAAGAAGGGAAGCTTCCTGAATCAGGCTATGTTTACTTGAAACACAGCCCACTGTGCCTTGCTATTTCAGTACATATTGTGTGTGGTATCCAGCTATTCTAAAGATAAGATCAAATTTGCAATTTAGATCAAAATGTCTCTCCCAGCTGTGAACTTCTGAAGTATTACCGAGTCACAGTGGAACCGTGGTCTGTGGGGCTGTCTGTGATACTGCATGAGGAGAAATATTTGTAAGGATGCCTACAGCTGTCTGAGCCTCCTATAGTGCTCAAGAGATTCATCTCTTCAGTTTGCCTGGCATCCTTTGGCTAGGAAATTCAGATGGAATTTAATAAGCACTGTGGAATCAGTGGAGAAAAGAATGAGAAATATATAGGGCCACTGCAACTGCTACTTGTATGAGGGGATAGGAACCTTTGTAGGTGTGAGCTTGATAAGCCTTCTGTATGAATGTACCACAGTGGTGCTATTGATACAGAGTGGGGATAGCAGAAGGAAAACTTCACTCTGCTTGATCAACCTCCTTCCTCTTCTGCCCTTGTTGCTGTTGCTGCTTCCTATGGAGAAAATGAGCTGTAGTAGCATTGGAAAACCCCTACTCAGTAATCTGGAGTCCTTCAC